GTTTGCTTTTGATGTGTGTGTGTGTGTGTGTGTGTGTGTGTGTGTGTGTGTGTGTGTGTTTAAACATCCTGTTCCCAAGATGGCTCTTTATATATGTACAAATATTCCAGAATCTAAAATATTCCAAAATCTGAAACCAAGAATTTTGACACAGCAATTCAATTTGTATGAAAAGCATTTCCAGTAAACATGATCAGAAAACACAGTACCTACTCTTTCAGGCAGCTATGCATCATTCTCTTATAGAAATACAAAAAATTCAGTTAGCAATCCTCCCTGGATGGACATTTAATGTTTCCAGTCAAACACTGCTATGGTTATTTAAGGTCTCAATACTGTGAATTGTCAGTGTCAGTTTGGCTTATGCACTTACTCCTCAGAAAAAGGTTGCCTATATCACTGTTAACTCGGTGCCCTCACAGGCATCCCTGTTTGCATCCTGGATGAAGAATGGAGGTCGAGAAAGGTACTCAGAAAACAGGATGCCTTTGTTAGACCTCCACCAACCAAGAAGCTTGCAGAGTTGTGCTACTGGACAAGCTAAATTCCCTGTGTCTCTTTCCTCATCTTAAACTTAGGGCTATTGGTAGTACCTCTTTTTAATCATTTTCTGGGTAAAATGGATTAAACAATGAGGATAAATAGGTATGTAAGGGCCAGAGCATTGCCTGATGGGCAGTGCTTGTGTCTGTATGCTGTAGTTACCATTTATTTCTAAGTTAATAAAAATCAGGTTTGGTGTTATGAAGTGATATTTTTAGTCTTCTAATTGTAAAGGAAAGACCTAATATCGAATATGACTTTTCTAGCTATAGTAGCAACACTGTCCTGTTAACTCTTCAACCTGGTTGCAGATCACTTTGAAAATTAAGAAGTCAAAACCACTGAGATGTAATCAAATATGCATGAAATGAACTTGAGGAGTGGCTTAGTGATTATCTGTGGGCATGTAATTCAAATTCCAAAGCAAGTGCAGGAGTATGTACACACAGGGACACCCTTCTGCTATTTGATTATTTTATTTATATTCCTGTGCATGTTGTACTATCTTCTCTATGGGGAAGGGTGCACCATAGAGAAGTAATGTGGGTGGAACTAGCAAGTCTGCAGATAGAGCTGGGGATTGGTTGGGGAATCTGAGCTGAAAGTAATGGAAAGCAGCCAACTAGCTAAGTGTTTGTAGGTCAGGGTGTGTGACAAAGCCTAGCTTCAAGCCTAGGAACTCCCTTATGAATATGCTAATTACCCTGAGTAGATTACCACCCCATGTATGCCTGAATCTCAACATCATATACCTTATGGACTGTACAGATATGTATCAATAAAAATAAGAACAAAAGCTTCCTTATGGGCATCTCTAAATATAATTGTTTAATAATTTTGTTAATTTTCCCTTAAGAAAACACTTCTCATTGGAAAACAAAACATACAAAACCACACTATAAAACATATGGTTTCATAAATGACTGTAACAAATATAACTTGATGACCATTCTAGAAGCTTTTCCATGTGGCTTATCACATTCATAGACCTCTCTTCCTTTTAAAATAATTGCTTCCTTATGATTTCCTGATAGTTTTATTCCACCTGGGAATCTTGCCCTTTTCACACTTATACATCTCCCATCTTTTCCTTACAGTTATTTATTGAGAAACAGGTCCTGTGGCCTGTGGAGTTGGACACTGTTTAGGAAGTGCATATTGGTCAGGTAGTTCTGTGTGTTCCTTTGTCCTTTGCATTTTCTGCAGATGGTAGCAGGATGGGTGGCTTAAGTTTCCATCCTTTGGCAAAACTATAGGAGGTGGTTGTGTTCTTTCATAGGATGTTTTAATGTTTGGACTTCGATTTTTTTTATTACCAGCTGTTGACTGTTCATTATCTAGATTATCTTTATCACAGCTTGAAAACTGTTAAAAACACTTTTCAGAATAATCTTGTGGGAATGTGGAGAGGTGGTGCACTTGGCCAGAGGTCAACCCTGGGTGCCCTCGGGAGCCCTCCACCCTTGTTTTATTGAGACAGAGTCTCTCACTGAGGCCTGTGCTCATAAGATAAATGATGTTGGTTGTCCGGTGAGTCTCAGAATTGTCGTTTCTCCACCTTCTTAGTACTAGGATTGCAAGTGTGCTGCCAGACCTGACAGTTTGTCATTCCCTCATCTGCTGTGTGCATCTAGCAGATAAAGTTCAAGGGACAGGCCAGATAAATCCTTATATTTATCTGCTTTCCACAGCCATTGGTTCAGATGAGATAACCAGCTGGCTATTTGTACTCTTGGATTTAAATTTATTCATAGGTTTCTGTTCTATAGCAATTTCTTTTCTCTTATGTAAATGCAGACCTTCTGTTTAGCCAGTGAGGACTTGTTCGGGGGTCTTCTTGACATGATTGTAGTTGTCTCTGGTAGCTTGCAGGGTAAGGTGCCTCCCTTGTGATTGTATCTCCTGCTTTAGAGAACTGGAATGTGACAAAACACCTAGCAAAAAACAACTTAAAAGAGGAGTGTATTTTAACTCACAGATTGAGGGTGGGGAAAGCATGGTGGGAGGGGCATGAAGCAGCTGCTCACTGCATTCATGCTCAAGAAACAGAGAGAGAACAACACTGGTCCTCAGTTTTTCTCTCTTTTTATTCATCTTAAGACCCAACCATGGTTGTATTGGTGCTACTCATATTCAGGGTAGATTGTGTGGCTTCCAGACCTTTCTGGGAATACCCTCATAGACACAGCCAGAGGTATTTCAGTTTCCCCTTTCTCCCTCCTCTCCTAATGTATGCCAGGTCACTAGTGATTTTGCATTTTCATCGCTGGTGTCATTTGAAAAAAAACATTCTTATGCTTCATCATCCTTATCGATCTTTTCTGAGAACTGCTTTTGTTATATGGGTTTTTAATTTTCTATTTACTCATTTCTGCTCTAGGCTTTATTTCCTTTTTTCTGCTTATGTTGCCTTTTGTTTCCTTTTTCTAATTTCTTGCAGAACAAACATAGGACACTGATTTCAGTCATTTACTGCTATAAATATTTATGCTCCATTTTGAGCAGTGATTCTTCACTGACATCACATAGTTTATCAGGAACACTGCATGAAAGAATAGGATTCAGGGAACACATGAAAAGGGAAGTTTGATTCAGTCTTGGGGGTTTAATTGAAAATTAGAAAAAGATAAATCTGGGAGAAGGAAAACTTAAGATTTTTGTTTATCAATGAAAAAAAAGGGACATTAAAGACATCCTTTAAGACATTCCTGACAGTAACATCTTGTAGTTAAGGATTGGGTTCTCAAATTTTATTTTTCAAATTGATCGTAATGATGGTGCTTACATTATGGCACCTGAGCAGGAAAGGGTGCGCCTACACCTTTCACACTGCCTGGCTACACACTGCATCCAGTACGTAGCACCACAGCATCCTTATTTCACATAGGTGATATGGGTACCAATGTCTAGCGGCATCTGTCTGCTTTACTCATGCTCTCGAAGCCTGTATCTGTTTTTACTGATTGTTGCATTTTCTTTTTCTGTTTCACCCGTAGAGATGCTGAGCCGATTATCAGGATTAGCAAATATTGTTATACATGAATTATCAGGAAATAATTATGGCCAGAACATGACAGCTCCCTTAGAAGCTGTGAGTAACTATATCCAGATCCAAACTGATGAGACCTCCATTCTGTGTTCTGAGGAGGATACCTTAAGTTGGAGGGATGTGGGCAGCCTCCCTTGTGCAAAGTAGAAGTGAAATTAAAAAAAAAAAAAAAAGAAAAACCTCAGCTCTGTAAATGATCATCTACTGAGGTTTGACAGCCTGAGAGCTGTGGGGACGGAAACCAAGTCTAGATGAGGGTGGAAAGATGAGTCCTGTTTAGGACCATGCTGTCTCAGGTCATTGTCACCATCTTCCTCCTCCCACTCCTCCCCTCCCTCCACCCACCCCTCCCCTTCCTCCTCTTTGGGGACATAACTCCTGTTCCATGGAAAAGACGTAAAGAGTAAACAGGACTGGAGCACCATTTTTGTTTGAAAACATGTTTGTTTCTATAAATTTGCCTGCCTTTTTTATAGTTTGCCTTGTATTTTTCAATCCTTAAGGATTTAAAAGCAGTCCAGTAGCTTTTAGAAAGACAAGCAGCAAGCTGAACAAGCAGGGGTTTTGTTTGTTTGTTTGTTTAATTTTCTTTTATTTATTTGATTTTGTTTGGGACAGGGTTTCATGTGTCCTAGGCTGGCCTCAAACCTGCTATGTAGCTAGCCAGAGATGACCTTGGACTCCTGATCTTTTGGCCTGTGCTTTCTGGGAGTTGGGATCATAGTTGTGTGCTGCCATGCCCAGGTGATGCAGTGCTGGGAATGGAAGTCAGGCCTTAGTGTACGTGAGGCCCTCACTCTGCCAGCTCAGCCACATCTCTAGCCCTCAGCTCATTTCTAATTTTAAATTTTGGGTTCCTCCACTCAATAGTATATAATCCTTGCATCCCTTTATTTTGCTCTTTGATAAAAGTATTGATTATTATCATTTTTTTTTTAAGTTATGAGGCTGGAGAGATGGCTCAGTGGTTAAGAGCTGGCTGCTCTCCCACAGGACCTGAGTTCAATTCCCGGCACCCACATGGTGGCTCACAACCATTTATAATGAGATCTGCTGCCCTCTTCTGGCATGCAGGTGTACATGCTTTTTAGTTAGATAAAAATCCTTGCTATATTGTAATGGCGAGGATAACTGCTGAGGGGTTAGTTAGGGCTCAGTTTCAAAAGAAAAGAGTTGGGCAAAGGTTGAGGTGAGGATGTGGCAGTTCTTGAGGGTCATTATTGCCTTTTCCCTGTGCATTACTTTTATTGTTTTATGTCTAAATCCCAGGCATCTGACATGGAGTTGGATAATAGCATACAAGAGGATATTCTACAACGACTGGCTGATTCAGAGAAGTTAGTGGTGGAGTTAAAGGACATCATTAAACAGAAGGACGTTCAACTCCAGCAGAAGGATGAAGTTCTGCAGGTATTGTTCAGTCATTTGCTGAGCATTTGATGAAGACAGGTCATTCGCTCAGAGCGTTCCTCAGTACTGTGGCGTGCTGCCTGCCACAGCTAAGTGGTGTGCTAGGTGAACAGTGAGCACTTGTTTATTGTCTTCATTGCTCTACGGCAGGAGGAACGGAAAGCTGCTGACATCAAAATTAAAAAAATAAAACTTCATGCAAAAGCCAAGTTCACTGCTTTGAACAAGCATGTGGAAGAATTGAAGGCACAAGGAGGGACTGCATCGCCTACAGAACAGCAGGCAGAGGAGCAGCCCTCCAAGGTATGAGGCATGGATAGAGACAGGCTGTCCCCTGAGGTAGGAGCCCTGTTAGGGCAGATCTGCAATGGTGAACTGATGCAGCATGAGCTCTGCCCTTTCCACCAAGCCTGTGGTTCACTTGCACTGAAAGCCACACAGGGAGAGCAAAGGCATACAGAAATGTGGGCTTGAGTTGGCAGTTGTCACCCAGACAGTGAGAAGGTTAAAGGACTGACAGGAAGAAATAAGTCCTGAAGTGAGACAGTGAGGAGAAAACATATACTTTGTGGATGAGTTTTATTATTGGTTAGAACATTAAAAACTGTGATCTCTAAGATTCCCCCCCTGCTCTGAAATTCTTTTATTCCTTAACTAATATAGAATATTCTCTACTTCTGTAAGTGAATACTGGTCCATTAATGTCTCATGAACTATGGACTGAGTTGCCTGGCTCACCTGGTCTCCTGTAAGGAGGCTTGCAGGGTTTATGGTTGCCACCACAAAGCAGTGTCCAGTAAGGATACAAAGGAACTAAAGAAAGCTGTCTTTAGAGGAGTATGGTGTTATTCCATTGTACATTCTCCTCAGCGCTCTGTTCAGAGCCACATTCAGACGTCTATTTAGAGAACAAGGAACATCAGGTTTTGGAGTGTTTGTGCAGATTATATTGATGCCAGTGTCACTGCACACTGTGGTTAAAAGTCAGCCTAGACTTCACCCTACTCCCTGATTATTCTCAGAAATATTAGTTCTGAGGGGAGTTTTTTCACCTTCTGAGCCACAGCCCTTGAGGGTACTTGTTACCTCCCAGTGCCCTGCTAAGCTTTGCCTGTCAGAAAGACATGGCTTTTCCTTGTTTGCACTGAGGGCTGGCTCAGTAGAAGAGCACCAATGGAGTGTGTATAAGGTTCTAGGTTTAGTTCCTTGTACAGCAGGAGCATGAGAAGGAGGAGAATAGAATAGGATCATTTAACATCTCAAAGTTGATTTTAAAAGCAAGTAATTTCTTTGTTTGAAATATTTTCCTCCACTATGGTTTCTATGGCAACTCTCTTCCCCTGGCTGTGGTGGCAGGCACTAATCTTTTTCTTTCCATGTTTATTCTTTCAGACTTCCCTTGAGTCATGTTGTTAGATTTTTTTTTATCCATTTTATACTCTGCATTTCACTCTAGCTTACTACTTAGCCCTCAGGCCTTAAATGTGTCAGCATCTTATATCCTCATTTTGTTTCCCTGTTAAATAAATGTCCAGCAGACTCAGTAACGCCAGCTGTCAGTCACAGCAGCCCTTTAACCATGGCGTGCTTAGTGCAGTGTGAGTGCTGGGAAGTGGAGGGGGGTGAGGGGAGCAACAGACAGACAGAGAGAAAGGTATCAGAGGTAAGAAGAGGGTGTCAGATTCCTTAAAGCTGAGTAACAGGTGTTGTGGGTTCTTGGATCCACACAATGGTCATCATGCTTGTATAACAAGCTTTTTTAAACTGAGTTATCGTCCCAGCCCAAAATTCATTGCTTTTTATTAGGTTCTTGCTCCTGTCCTTGTTGATTGGTTCTGTTGTTTGTTTGGGTGAGATAGGGTTTCTCTATGTAGTTCTAGCTCTTCTGGAACTCTAGACAAAAGCACTCAGGAGCCAGAAGCAGGAGAATCTCTGAGTTAGAAACCTCCCTGGTTCATGCACTTTGTGTGTGTTTAGTGTTTTTCTTAGATCTATCCTTTTTTTTTATTATTTAACTCAAGGCATTCTGTTTTGTGTTTGCTTTTCTCATATGAAATGAGTTTTCTTTTATATCAACTTTATGAATTTTATTACTTTTTTCTTTTCTAATTCTAATTTTCCTTTCATGTCCTGTATACCTTTCTTAAACATATATTTCTGCTCATTATTCTTCATGATTTTTGTTGTTCTTTTTGAGACACAGTCTCACATTGTAGCCCAGTTTTCCCTTGAACTTGTAGCAGTCCTCATGTCTCAGCCTCCTGAGTGCTGGAATTACAGGCGTGACCCAACATGCCTGGCCTTTTAATGATATTATGTGTTCATTCTATTTCATGTGTGAATGTAGTCAACTCCCTTTTCCATCAACAGGCAAATATGTAAACAAACTGTGGCATGTCTATACAGTGAAATATTAGTTTGAAATAAAATATGAATTTACATCATTAGTCTGCCTTCATTTTGGACCTAAAAAAGTATAAAAACTTACTTTTGAATTAGAAAAATTGGCTTTATGTTTATTCTCTAGTTATTTTGATATCAACTCTTACTCCTGCTGTCTGCATTACTTTTTTGTGTGCTAAAGTGGAAATTAGAAGGAATATGGCAGGTATTCAAGACAAAGGAGAGTCAAAGAAATGAAAATGCCAGCCGCTTTGCTTAAGCAAATACTTTCCCCCTGCAGTTGGATAAGAGTTCTGCAGAGATGGAGGAGTTCGTCCTGATGAAGCAGCAGCTTCAAGAAAAGGAAGAACTCATTAACACTCTGCAAACCCAGCTCAGCCAGACACAGGCAGAGCAGGCTGCACAGGTGAGATGATGGCGCCTCCATTAGGATTAAGTTCACAGCAAAAAAAATCATTCAAAGTGAATCAACTTGTTGACATCAACTGTATACACTGGTCAGTGCACACCACCTTAGCAAAATCTCACTTGAGGGGCTAGAGAAATGGCTTGGTGGTTAGGAGCACTGCTCTTGCAGGTGACCCAGGTTAGGTTCCCAGTACGAGCACGAGCACCAGGTGGCTCATAACCACCTGTAACTTCAGTTCATGATGCCTTTTGGCCTCAACAGGACCTCTATACATGTGGTGCCCATAAACTCATGCAGACACACACACACACAAGTAAACTTAAATCTCATCGGATATAACAGAGTCAGACAAAAAGAAAAACCTGTATATAATGAAAAGTAACTTATAATTCAACCTAAAATTTTAGTTAAATCATATTAACAGGAAATATTTATTTTGGAGGGATCTCATTTTATGACTTTTGTAGCTTAATGTGTTTAGCGATGCAAACTATGCAGCGTATGCATGGCAGTCGCCCACTTTTTTGTGTGGCAAAGTGGAAATTAGAAGGATTATGGCAGGTATTCAAGACAAAGGAGAGTCAAAGAAATGAAAATGCCAGCCGCTTTGCTTAAGCAAATACTTTCCACCTGCAGTTGGATAAGAGATCTGCAGAGATGGAGGAGTTCGTCCTGATGAAGCAGCAGCTTCAAGAAAAGGAAGAACTCATTAAAACTCTGCAAACCCAGCTCAGCCAGACACAGGCAGAGCAGGCTGCACAGGTGAGATGATGGCGCCTCCATTAGGATTAAGTTCACAGCAAAAAAAATCATTCAAAGTGAATCAACTTGTTGACATCAACTGTATACACTGGTCAGTGCACACCACCTTAGCAATCTCACTTGAGAGGCTAGAGAAATGGCTTGGTGGTTAGGAGCACTGCTCTTGCAGGTGACCCAGGTTAGGTTCCCAGCACGAGCACGAGCACCAGGTGGCTCATAACCACCTGTAACTTC